CCAGGTAAGGTTATTCAGCCATAAAAAGTAATGACAAACTGATTCATCCTATGATGGGGGATGAACCTTGAAAACATTCAACTGAGTGAAAGAAGCCAGACACAAAAGACCACACAGTGTATGATTCCATTCATAAGAAATGTCCAGCATAGACAAATGCAGAGAGGCAGAAAGTAGATTAGTGGTTTCCAGGGGCTGGAGGGAAGGGAGAAATGGAAGTGATTGTCAGTGGGTATGAGGTTTCCTTTTTGAGTGAAGAAATGTTCTAAAATGGATTGTGGCAATAGTTACACAACTCTGTGAATACCCTAAGAACCAGTAGAAATGTGTACTTTAAGTGGGTGAATTGTATGGTATGTGAATGATGTCTCAATAAAGCTGTTAAAAAATTACAGCTGACATTTATCAAGTGGTTAACTATGCACCAGGCAATGTGCTAACTTCTCACACCAATGATTGCATTTGTACTTACAAGGTCACTGTGAGAAAGAGAGTCCATTTTACAGGTAGGGAGACTGAGACTAGGGAGGTTGAACAAGTCACACAGCAGGGCAATGGCCTGACACCAGAGGTCTGGCATAGGAGCTCCACCAGACCTGCCCCTTGCCACCCCCAGTTTCCCACACCCTGCCTTTCCTCCCCTTGAGCCAAGCTCTGGCTCCACTGACATGATTTCTGTTTCTTTAACACACACATTCTTTCCAGCCTCCAGGCCTTTGCAGGTGCTGACCTAATCCCTCTGTCCAGCTGTTCTTTGCAATCCCCTCCCATATAGTCTGTGAAATTAATGTCTAAGTGTGAGGGGGCAAGCAACAAAGAGGAATGGCTGACTCCAAGGCTGCAAGCCTAAAGCTTTGGAAGTGAGGGTGTTCAGGGAGCAGGGCACCTGCAGGGGCTGCTTGTAGGAAAAGATGGGGGTCTGCCTCTTCTGCATCTCGGGGATCTGGCCCCTGACCCACTTCAACAGCTTTTGGAATCCCTGGCCTGGGTTTAACCTAAGCTGTAATTGGAGACGTGTGTGCACGTGTGCGGGGAGAAGGATGAGGTCCTCTTCTCCCCTAGGCAGTTGGCCAGGCCTGGGGTGAGCAGGTGGGGAGATGAGAGATGTGCATCTGCCCAGTACCCTGGGACAAGGTAATCTTCCCCCACCAAGCTGCCTTCTTCTCCCCAGCCCAAAGCCTCTTCTTTGGAGCCTTTTAGAACCTTTAGGTGGGTGGGGGGATAGGTGAAGGGGATCAGAGGTACAAACTTCCAGTTCTAAAATAAATAAGTCAGGGGGATGAAAAGTAGGGGATACAGTCAATAATATTATGGTATCTTTGTACCGTGACAGACGGGAACCACACTTCTCATGGGGAGCATTTAGTAACGTATATTATTGTCGAATCACAGGTTGTACACCTAATACCGATACAATGCCAGCTATTACGTCAATTAAAAAAAGAAGTACACTGATATAATAGAACGCTATTTAGCAGTAAAACACACAGAAAGTTCTGATGTCTGCTGCTACAGGGAAGAACCTCCAAAACATGCTGAGGGCAACAATTTCAGATGCAAAAAGCCGCACAGTGTACGACTCCATTTATCTGAAATGTCCAGAATAGGTAAATCCATACAGATGGAGCACAGCCTGGTGGTTGCCTGGGGTGGGGGAAGGGGAACGGGCAGTGGTTGCTTAATGAGAATGGGGTTTCCTTTGGAGCAGATGGAAATGTCTTGAAACTAGCTCAAGGTGGTGGTTGCATACCCTTGCGAATGTGCTCACAGTGACACTGAGCTATTCCTTCAAAATGGCTGATTTTAATATCCCCTCAATTTTAAAACATAAAGTCAAAGGATGGTTCCTCTGCCAGGAACACCCTCCCCTGCTGCCCTCTTGCTACTCTGGCCTCAGCTCACTTCACCTCCTCAAAGGGGTGTTTCCTGCCCTCCAGATCTAAAATAGCCTCCAGTTGTTCTAGCATCACACTGTGATATTTTATTTGTGTACAGCACACATCACTAGGTGGAATTATCTTATTTATTTGTATATGGGTTTTTTTTGTCCCCCACTAAAATGTAAGCCCCTAGTGGGCAGGGCACAGTGTGTGTCTCTATTTGCAGATAAGGAAACTGAAGCTCAAGGACATTTAGACACCCGAAAGTCAGCCTGCCATCTGCCTGCTCTAAAATCCACGCACCTGCCATCACAGCTGGGGTCTCAAACTGAAATATCTTCACGGGCCAGGCTGGCAACATAAATGTCCAAAGCCACCAGGTGGTGTGGCTGGGGAACATCTGCCCACTGGGGAGCAGATCTTAGGCATTTCTCAGGCAGATGCTTTTTTACTTTTCTTTTTTTAAATAAATAAACATTATTTTTTAGAGCAGTTTTCGGCTTATAGCAAAATTAATTGCAAAGTACAGAGAGTTCCCATAAATCCACTGCTCTGTCCACCATGACCTCTCCCATTTCGGGCATCCCACATCACAGTGGTACCTTTGGTAGAACTGGTGAATCTACAGTGACACAGCATTACCCCCCCAAGTCCGTAGTTTCCATTAGGGGTCAGGCATGTTGTTGTACATGCTATGGGTTTGGACAAATGTATAGATATGTATCCACCACTACAATATCACACAGAGTAGTTTCCCTTCCCTAAAAATTCTCTGTGCTCCACCTACTCATCCCTCCCCCCACCCTTTAACCCCTGACAACCACTGATCTTTTTATTCCCCCCACATTTTTGCCTTTTCCAGAATGTCGTAGTGTTGGAATCACACAATATGTAGCCTTTCCAGATTGGCATCTTTCACTTAGTAATATGCATTCAAGGGTCCTCCATGTCTTTTCAGAGCTTGATAGCTCATCTTTTTTCAGCACTGAATAATATTCCATTATCTGGATGCAAAAAGTTTGCTCATTGTTCTCATCTGTCATGGGATGCTGCCCGCAGCAATGATTGCTGTGGTATTCTAGGGATGATTTTCTATTTTCAGCATTCATTCGATGTTTATTAATTGGAATTCTTCTGTCAAGATTTGCCCCCTCTTCTGCATTTTAAAATTGATTTACTCATGCATTTTTATCAGTATGGACTTGTGGACATTTATCTTATTCTCTGGGTTATATCCAAAGCCATTGCTATTTATTTTGTTCTCAAATTGTTTCATGTGTCCTCTGGAGATTTTGTTTTGCCTTTTAATTTTTTTTAGCACCTTCTAGCCCTGAAAGATACTCCAGACTTGCTTTGTACTTTCTCTGCTCCAGCCCTAGAATAAGCCATTGCTTTGATGAGCCCTGGATCTTTATATTGAAAAAGGTATTTAGAAACCAAGATCTGGGTGCTGAGTATGCTCATTTTTATTGGGGTGTCACTGCTTCTGAGCTCTTCGCAGCCAGAGCTAGGAAATAGGTGTGTACTAACCCATGCATACACACATATCTATATTAATTTTCATATCTAGCTATCGAAATTAATATTTCTTACTGATATTTGTAACTTCCTTCTGCAATAGTGTGAGACCTGGCTGTCAATATCTACAAATGTGTACTTATTTACTCAATGCTAGAATATAATTCATTCCAGGATTGTTAACCTGTACTCTTGTGAGAAACAAATTCACTAACTAAAGTACAGTGTTTGAATGGCAAACCTCTGAGCTAAGCAAACAAGCCTTATGTGGTGGCCCTCACGACCTTCAGTTTCTGACCCTCCCCCACAAACCACAACTACTCTGGTCTCTGGCCATAGGAAAGTTATCAGTCTGCTTTGCACCTCCCTGCAGCCACATTCATACCTCCAGATCGGGCCAAAGAGGATGGAGGGGGGCCTTGGAAGCCTTGCTGCAGTCCTCTGCCTCTGTAGGTGGGTGGGGGTCTGAGGGGATCATGGGAGGCATTTTTGTGCCTTCATTTGTGCTGACGCAGCTCTGAGAGTGGGCACAGACCAGGTGGGGCAACCCCTGTGGGCGAGGGCCCTGGCAGCAGAACCTGCCAGGCAGGTGTGCTGGCCCAGGCATGCATCAGGCAGGCGGGCTGTGACAGGAGTGGGAAGCCAGGGGTGCCCTTCCCCTGGGAAGAGACCAGGTTTGGCTGGGAGGGCAGGGGTGGGAGTGAGTTGGGGGCGCTGCCTGGGACCCATAGGGCCTGAGCTGAGTCTCCCCCTAATCCCTCTATCCCTCTGTGGGGACACACTGTTGACCAACAGCACAGATACTAACATTTATTGAGTGCTCACCGTATGTCCTTGCTCTAGTTTACAGATGGGGCTGCTGAGCCCAGAGGGGAGGCAGTTACTTGCCCAGAGTTCTAGACTACAAAATAGCTGAGCCTGCCTCCAGACTCCAAGCCCTTAACATTCCCATGAGGTCTGGGCAGGACAGACAGGGTCTCAGCCTTCCTAGACCTGGGGACAGACACACAACTGGCCCCATGAACGAATGATCACAGTAATCCCAGATGGTACCAACTGCCATTTGAGATTGGGGAGGAGAGGAACAGATCAGGGAGGGCTTCCCTGAAGAGGTGACCCACCAGGATGGGTTGGGGAAGGGTGTTGCAGGCAAAGTGATCCCCAAGTGCAAAGGTCTGAAAGTGTGTGAGGAATGGAGGAGGAGGCCAGTGGGGCTGGAAGGAAGGAAGTCAGGGGGAGAATGGAGAAGAGGAGAGACCCTCCAGGGCCTTGTGGGTGGTGGTGAGGACTTGGGCATTTACTCTGAGGAAAACAGGGAGCCATGGGAGAGTTTGGAGCAGGAGACTGACAGGATCTGAATTTTAAGAACTGTGGCCCAGTGTGTGGATGATAGGGACCGAGGGTCCCGACATCTGCCCAAGACACCAGGGTCTCTGTCTACGGAAAAGACGCGCTGAGAGGTGGCAGGAATGAGGGGTGCTGGGCTCAGGACCCACTAGCGGAAGAAGCTCCTCCTCTCATAAGGCCCGAGGGAGGTGAGATTGCAGCCTGGGAGGTGTGAAGGGGCCACCTTCCCACCACGGGGTGCGGCTTCCCCTTCGCAGAAAGGGGTCATTTATCGGGTGCCTGCTGTGTGCCAGGCGTGGCCCCACCGCGTTTAGGGACTCTTCAGGGCTCATCCCGGCCGCCTGGTCTGCAGGGCCCTGGGCTCTGGCACTAAAGCTGTAATCACTACGCGGGACGCCGGTCCCACTGGCTGCGCTTGCCTTTCTTCGGAGCAGGAAGGAGCGGTTCTATCTCCCCGAGGCACAGCGGGGACAGGAGCCGGGGGAATTCCCAAGGGGCTACACGGGGACGCAACTCTGTCCTTCCCCCAGGGACGCCTTCCCAACTGACCCACCCCAGCCCCCACCCTCCGGCTCATCGTCCCTGGGACGCCCCCACCCGACCCGACGCCAGCAGAGCCTGAGGCGGTGGAGGCAAAGGGCACTGTCCCGACGAAGGTCGCAGGAGCCGGGCCCAGCCCCCTTCCCAGCTGTGACCGCTGGTCTGTGAGTGCGGGAGCTGGGCCCCTCCAGGAAGCTCCTGGGAAGTCGGGGTTGGGGTGGGGGCCAACTGGGACTGGCCCATTGGAGGAGCGGAGGCCTGGGAGAAGCGTGGGAGAGCGACACAGAGAGACACAGCCAGCGACTGAGAGACACGCAGAGACAGGGAGAAACAGACGGATCTTGAGAGTTCTGATGAGAGATACCCGCAGAGACAGTGAGGGAGACATTCATTCATTCACTCACTCACTCAACGGGTACTTACTGGGCACCGACTGGGTCTCCGCAGTGCCCATAGCAAATGCAAATCCCTGCTGCGTGGGGCTGATGGTGGGGTGGAGACACAGACCAGAAACGCGTTATAGGAGTAAATCATATTGTCAGGAGAGATGAATGTGGGAGAGACGGGCAGGCGGAGCCAGGGGGCACACGAGCCAGATCCTCCTTATCTGGGGAGGGGGAGGTTCCTACCAGAATCCAGCCAGCGCCCGCCCTTCCCCCTCTCTCCCCAAGCCGGGGGTGGGAGCCGGGAAATGGGGAGGGGCCTGCACCCGCGAGCCGCCGGGACCTATCCGCTAGGGGAGGGGACTGAGGCTACCGCCGTCCCCGCTGAAGACCTTCTAACCCTCGCTGCCGGAGTCCCTTCGGGTGCAGCCAGAGCGCAGTTGGAAGGTAGGCGGGAAATGGGGAGGGGCCAGTACCCAGCAGCCAGAGGGCAGACCAGACCCCGCCACTGGAAGGAAAAGGGACTCAGGCTGTGGCCGCCCCTGCTGAGAACTCTCCCCTTCCCCTGTCTCCGGGTCCTCCCACCGCGACAGAGCGTCCCCGGGAGGGCAACCCAGGCCGGGAGGGGGAGCCGAAGACTCGCCAGTGCCAGTCGCCGCCGGGGCGCGCTCCGATGCCGCGGCGGGTGGCACAGGCTGGCAGCCCCAGGCCTGGTGCCCAGGCTACAAGGGGAGGGGGCAAGTGCTAGCGACCGCCAGCCGTCTGCGCTGCGGGCCCGCCCACTCGCTTGCCAGCTCCAGCCCCGCCCGCGGAGTGGGCTTCTTTCTCTCCGTTCGGGGCAGTGCAACTGCTGGGGGCGCACGACCAGGGCTCAGGGGTGAGTGTACAGCGCAGTGGGTCCGTGGGGGCACAGGGCTTGGTGGCCCGGAGGGGATTGTCCCGGCCACCATCCCGGTCCCCTTGCTTGGGTTTCCCGGGGCTTTCCCGGAGGCCTCTACGGAGAGGCAAACAGCAACTCCAAGGCTAGTTTCGGGGCCCCGGGATGGGAGTGGGGGCGCCTCGAATCCCCTGGTCTCGCCCTCTCCGGGCCACTTACTGCAAGTTTCGCTACCTCAGTCCCGCTGCTAGGCAAGCCGAGGCGAGGCGGGAGGTGCAGAGACTGTGTCTGTGTGAAGCCCCCATCACAGCGAATGTAACCCGTGTCTAGGTACATTTTACGCCCGCCTCTCTCCAGTGTGGCCGAGTTCCAGGCTCTCTGTGGGTCTGTATTTGCGCGTGGTTTCTTGTGTGCAACTGAGGCTGTCTGATATGCATGTGCAAATAAGTCCGTCCCCCTCCTCTGGCCACATTTTCTCACCTAAGCAGGACTCACGCAGTTGTGTAGTTTTCTCATCTAAGCAGGACTCATGCTGATTTCTGTGTAGCTGTTATGAGATCTCTATGCCTGTTTCTATGTGAGGAACTTCTTTTGAGCCTCAGTTTCCTAGTCTGTAAATTGGGACCAAGGGGAGAGCTGTCCAGGGGATTAGAGGGCACAATTGCAGGTGGGAAGTATTATTATATCCTAATGACACGTGTGCCTCAGCAAGAGCCTATCAGTGCGACGTGGATTCTGTCTGCAGCCCTCCAGTTCTGCCTCTGTAAGATGGGTGGATAGGCTCAGCTTTTTCACAAGGGCTTTGCAGTGGATGAGGGGTTTTGGCAGGAAAAAGGCCTGTGTGCAGCAAGGCGTGTAGATTGTGGGGCTTTGGGCTCCAACCCCAGTGGTGGGTGGAAGTTGTGAATTTGTGGCTTGTGCTGCTGGGCGTGAGACCCTGTCTGCATGGGCCTGATTGTGTGTTCTTTGTGTCTTTAAGTTGCTCTCCACAAATGTGATGTATTTTCGTGTTTCCCTCTTGGGATGTGACTGTATGTTTGCCCTAGTTTGTGCCTAGGTTTGTACATGTCCTTGTCGGTGTCTTACTGTATTTGGTGTCCCTTCAGTGTGTGGCTGTATTTGTGTGTGTTCCTGTCTGTTTATGATTCAATGTCTCTGGGTATTCTTACTTGTGTGTGAATTACTAGCGTCCCTTTCCTGTGGGACTGTGTGTCACCATGTCCCTTCGTGATGCTGTTTTTGTGTCGGCCGGTCTCCATTGACACCCCGTTGCATCCCTCTGAGCCACCCCCGGCATGAACGTCGGGTGGTGGATAGGGGGTTAGGGCCCCTTTCCCAGGCTTCAAGGCTCTGCCCGTACCGTCCCCGCAGGCCGCAGGGATGGTGCGCGCCGAGCCTGACACTGTACCTGACCTCTCCGCAGCCTTGGGTCGGGAGGCCCATGGAGTCGGGGCTGCTGAGGCCAGCGCCAGTGAGCGAGGTCATCGTCCTGCATTACAACTACACCGGCAAGCTCCGCGGTGCGCGTTACCAGCCTGGAGCAGGGCTGCGCGCCGACGCCGTCGTGTGCCTGGCAGTGTGCGCACTCATCGTGCTGGAGAACTTGGCGGTGCTGTTCGTGCTAGGGCGCCACCCGCGCTTCCATGCGCCCATGTTCCTGCTCCTGGGCAGCCTCACGTTGTCCGACCTGCTGGCCGGCGCGGCCTACGCAGCCAACATCCTGCTGTCGGGACCGCTCACGCTGCGCCTGTCGCCAGCGCTCTGGTTCGCACGTGAGGGTGGCGTCTTCGTGGCGCTCTCCGCGTCGGTGCTGAGCCTCCTGGCCATCGCGCTTGAGCGCCGACTCACCATGGCGCGCCGGGGACCTGCACCGGCTGCCGGTCGGGGTCGCACGCTGGCGCTGGCAGCCGCCGCCTGGGGGGTATCGCTGCTCCTCGGGCTACTGCCCGCGATGGGCTGGAATTGTCTGGGCCGTCTAGACACCTGCTCCACCGTCCTGCCGCTCTACGCCAAGGCCTACGTGCTTTTCTGCGTGCTGGCCTTCCTAGGCATCCTGGCTGCCATCTGTGCACTATACGCGCGCATCTACTGCCAGGTGCGCGCCAACGCGCAACGCCTTCGGGTCCGCCCTGCGGCTGGCGGGGGCTCCTCCACCCGCGCGCGTCGCACGCCTCGCTCACTGGCGCTGTTGCGCACGCTCAGCGTGGTGCTCCTGGCCTTCGTGGCGTGTTGGGGCCCCCTCTTCTTGCTGCTTTTGCTCGACGTGGCGTGCCCAGCGCGCGCCTGCCCCGTGCTCCTGCAGGCCGACCCCTTCCTGGGCCTGGCCATGGCCAATTCGCTTCTGAACCCCATCATCTACACGCTCACCAACCATGACCTGCGCCACGCGCTCCTGCGCCTCTTCTGCTGCGGCCGTCGCCCCTGCGGCCGAGGCTCGGGCGCCTCCCTGCGGTCTGGGAGCGAGGCTGGGGCTTCGGACGGCCTGAACCGCTGGCTGCCACCCGGCCTGGACGGCAGCTCCAGCCGCTCCGAGCGCTCGTCGCCCCAGAGGGATGGACTGGACACCAGCGGCTCCACGTGCGGCCCCGGCATGCCCACAGCTGCCCGGATCCTGGTACCCGCTGCGGTCGCGGACTGATGTCCTTCCGAAGCCTGCCATTGCCCTGCCTAAGAGCTTGCAGACTTTTCCTCTTTAGACCAAGGACTTTGTAGGAAAAGCAACGTAAGATAGTGGAGGCCGGAAAATATGTTTTATCGACTCTAAAACTCCATGGCAGGGAATAACAAAAAAAAAACTGTCTTTATGGAACTGACCTTCTGGCAGGAAAACTGGCAGTAATGAAGAGATAATGGAGATAAATCCAGTGACAATACAGTGATGTAATGGTAGTTGGGGATACTTTTGGACAGGTGATGATAGGTGATGTGCGCTGAGATGTCATTGTCCTGGGAATACGTGAAGGAGGAGCATTTCAGGTTGAGGGATCAGCAGGTGCAAAGGCCCTGAGGCTGGAGGGTGCCTGTGTGTTCTGTGAAAAGCAAGGATCCTGGTGTGGCTGGAGTGGCATTAGAGGGAGGAAACAAAGGCAGGGAAATAATGTGGCAGATGGTGCAGGACCTTGTGGACCCAGGGGAGGACTTTGTTTTTGCCTTGAGTGAGGTGGGAGTCATGGAGGGGTCCAGGCAGAGGAGGGATTTGACCTGGTTCAGATATTCACAGATCGTGGTGGGGGAAGGAAGGTGGAAGTTAGAACAAGGTAAAGGGGACTGTACTGGCCCAGGGGGGTGATGACGGGAACTCAAACCATGTGGATTCTAGGTAAATTTTGAAGACAGCAGACAGAATTACCAAGGAACCAAGTGTGGAAGAGAGAGAGAAGGAAAGAGGAATCAAAGACAACTCTCCAGTTCAGAGGAGAGGATGCCAAAAACAGGGCACCCTAAAATTGGACTCTGGGAGACTCAGCCAATTCCTATCTGAAACAAGATTTCTTTATGGGGTCAGATCTTTCATAAAAAATAAAAAGAATAAAGTAATAAGAACAATTACCACTTATTGTGCCTGGCTAGTCACCCCTGCAGTTGTTAAGCCCAAGTCATTTTTCTCATGCTCACTGCAACCTTGCAAGGTAGGTTTCCTCAGCACCGTTTAACAGATGAAGACACTCCAAGCAGTGAGTACCTTGTCCCAGTGTGACTAAACCAGGCCTTCAGGCGCCCAGGCGGAAGGAGGTACAGACCTGGTGCCTTCCAGAGGGGGCTAGCAAGGCCAGACACTTCCTCCCTCAGGGGTCTGTATTCTTGGCCGGGGATTCTACCAGGGCCTGTCTGTGCCCATAAAAGGCTCCAAGAGCGCTGGCCACAGCCCCCGACTATCCCAGGCGCATTCCTGACCCCTGTGCGGAGGGGTCGGCGTGGGGGAGGGGCGGGGGCTTCAAATTCAGACTGCAGCGCGCCACCTGCTGGGAGGCTGGGAACTGCAGGCACCCGCAAGGAGCAGTGTGTTTTGGGGGCCACTGACCCAGCAGCCTGGGGTCCGGAGTCTCCGCGGACCACGCTCAGGCCGTCTCTGCAAGCCAACGCAGGGAAACCATCCTATTTCCTCGGACACACACTCAAGCCTGGGGTCACGGTCCCAGGACACTCCAAGGACCAGACCCAATGCCCCACTGCCATCTGGCACCCTTAACCCCAGAGTCCTTTAATCTTCCAAGGGAAGGTGAAGTTCACTCCATTGTTCCGGTGTTTGATGGTGTGATGGTAGATTTATTCACTTGTTCACACTTTACAAAATTCAAAAAAACACCAGTTCTCCTTTTGTATGTGATCACTGAGGAGATTCTTGGGAAATTTCCAGAGTTATTCTACAAATAAATGAGCTGAAAGCTAAACACATTATCAGTCTTCTTAGCACTGCTCTGCAACTTGCTTTGTTCACTCAATAGTATGTCTTGGAAACTGTTGCATACCGCAGATCTGGTACTTGCTATCTTAGTCTCCTCAGGCTGCCATAACAAACACCACGGCCTGGGTGGCTTAAACAACAGGAATTTATTTCTCACAGTTCTGGTGGCTAGAAGTCCAAGGTGAGAACGTCAGAATGACCGGCTGCTGGTGAGGGCTCTTCCTGGCTTGCAGACAGCTACCTTCCTGCTGTCCTCTCATTGGGTAGAGAAATCAAGGGCTTTGGTGTCTCTTCTTATAAGAGCACTAATCCCGACATGGGGGCCCCACCCTTGTAACCTCATCTAAACCTAATAATCTCGCCAAAGCTCCATTTCCAAATATCACATGGGGAATGTGTGTTAGGGTTTTAAGATATTTTGGGGTTGAGGGGGACACAGTTCAATCCATAGCTTGTTTGTTTTAAGATTTTTTTAATTCAAGTAAGCATTCATACAGTAAATATCTTGCTCCTTTTCACTGGCTGCATAGTATTTGGCAGCATATATGTGCCACCACTTATTATACCAGGGTCCTGTGGAGAGATATGTGGGTTGAATCCAATCCCCGACCTTTATATTCAGTGCTGTAGTAAACATCCCTGTGCATACCTCCTCCTGCACGTGTGCCAGTGTACCTCAGACAAATTTCTGCAGGTAGCTGCTGGATCACAGGGCCTGTAGATTTTATTTTGAGATATAAGAGGTTGCTCTTGGGCACGATCCACGAAGGTGTTGGTTTCCCCACAGCCTCAGCCACTTCGCCTATTCACTGACTATGCTATGGGGCCCCCTCTGGAGCAGTCCAGAATCACACCTTCACCCAAAGCCCCCCATCCCCCCAGGGAAGCTATCATCCTAATCCCAGACCCTGACTTCAAATTCACCCAAGTCTGGTGGAATCCTTCCTTAGAGCAACATCTGAAGCCTAGCGTTTCCTTCTATTCAGTTAGTTTCATTTAGATGGACTTCTGAAAATAAACGTAAGTACATTTATTTAAAAGTTAATTTATAAACAGCATAAATGACAAATCCGTATCTCTTGCCATGAAAAAACAATCGATCCTGTCTAGTGGGCGCTGGCATTTGCATTTAGTCCTACGACTAAGCAGGTGGGTACTAGTACTATTACCATGTCACATGGAGGAAACGTTGACATGGAGAGGTTACGTCACTGCCCCACCAGCACAGGGTTAAAGAGTGGCAGAGCAGGGGTTCGAACCCCAGCAGGCGAGATCCACGCGCCTCTAAATGGGATATAAAATAACTATAATACAAAGACAACGAAAAGCAACTAGGTAGATAATTCTAGTTGGATCTTGTGGCCGGCGGACCGTGAGGCTTGAGCTGCGTGGAGTTAAAGGGAAAGAGCAGGCTGTGGAGGGCAGCTCCGCGCAGACGACGAAACCGGGCCGATGGAAGGGACAGCGCTAGGGGGCATCGACCAGTCCCCTCCTGACCTTGCGCCCTCGCCCGACTCCCGGCTCCTCGCCCATGGCTCCGGGCACCTGCGGGAAGGGCGGGGAATCGCGGCTCCTTCCCCGCAGCGCCCTCTCCGCCTTCTCCCCGCCTCCTTCTCGGGCGTCCTGAGGCCGCCCACACCCGACGGCTGCGACCCCGCAGGCCTTGGGCCCCGAAGCCAAGGTCCCCCTACGGCGGAGGCGCCCGCGGGTCCCAGACAGCGAAGGTTAGGCGGGAGCCGCCCCCGGGCGGGCCGCGTCCCCTCGGGTTTCCCGGAAGCTCGGAGCGCTGGTGGCACCACAGTGCCCGGAATCATCGCCGTGCCCCCGGCATCCCCACTCCACGGCGAGAGCTACCGAGGCCACGCGCGGGCAGAGTGAGCGCGGCGGCGGCAGCGGGGAGAGGTGTCCACGATCTCTGGTGCGGGCTGGGGCGCGTCGGACCTCGAACCCGGGGCTCAGATTACCTGCTGCTGCGACCACGCGGCTGCGCGCGCCGAGGGCTGCGGTCCCCCGCCCCGCCGCTGCGGTGACGGGCGCTGTGGTCACTACGCCGGGGCTGATGGGCGGCAGCCGGCGGGAGCGGCGGAGGGGGAGGCGGCCCCGCTGCTGTTCCGGCCGCTGGCGGCCCGGGCCGCAGGGACTTTTATTTTGACACGGCCGGCGCCGGGCTCTGCTTAGTCATGGTGACCTGCGCGCGCTCCGCGCCTCCCCCCGGCGCGCTGCGATGGAGGCGCCCGGGCCTGGGCGACGGAGGCGGAGCCCGAGCGCGGCCATGGCGGGGTGAGTGAGGCGCCCTGCGCCCGGGCTGTGGGCACCGCGGGCCGTGCGTGCCCCTGCGGCCGTGCCCGGGGGCCAGGAGCGGGGGCCGTACCCCGGGCCCCCTCGGGTTTCTCGCTGCCCCGAGGAGGGTGCGGCTCGAATCCTGTCCTTTTGTTGGACGGCGCGACCCGCGGGGTGGCCTGGGAGCAACACAAGCCGGGAGAGAGGCCCGGGGAGCGCCGCTCGGACGGAGGGCTGGTGACCACGGAGTGCGGGGGGGCTTGGTCTGCTCCCTGGCGGCCGTGCGGCCCGGTGGGGTCCCTACCTCCCGTCTCCGGGCCTTGGTGGCGGCCCAGGCGGGGCATGCGCAGTCCCCACTCGTCGCTTTGTGGAGGGGGAATTGTGCAGGGGGCACCGCTGACCGCTTGGCCAAAGACCGAGAGGCAGGCCCGGGGCCTCCGCCGGGGAGAGGGCGGTCAGGCGGCGCCTTGGGCCCCGTGGAGAGGGGTGCTTCGGCCGGCACGGTGGAGCGGGCCGCCAGCCAGCCACACGCGTTCTGACCCCTGCGCGGTGCCAGGCTCCAGGCAGGACCCCGGGCAGGCGCACGAGAGGGGGGGCACCACCCTTGACCTGCACAGGGCTCCCAGCCCTCAGGAACGCTGGGGCTGAGGGCCAGCGGGACAGGCCATCAGGCAACAAGCAAGCAAAGGGGCCCATTTCAGTTCCTGACAAGTGTTGTGATGGAAATAAAACAGGGAGGAGGTGACTCTGAGGTGAGCCTGGGAAAGATAAGATGGAGAAACTGGGGAGCCTCTTGCAGATACCCCCTTCTCCCCGGAAGACCTTTCAATATACAACCCACGCATGCCCTGGCGCCCAGGTCCCACAGGTTTCATGGAAACCCTCATTTCAGTGGTCAGTACCTGTGATCACACTCCACCATTATCTCTCTCATTCTGCCTCTGAGCCTCTACACTTGCTGTTTCCTCTTCCTGGAAAACCAACTCCCATCCCCATCCCCTTCCTATGTTCATCCTCATCTCAGCTCGAACAGAGGCCTGGACTACCTGATTTAAAGCAACTGCCCCCAAGTCACACTGTCACAATGCTGTTGTAATTTTCTTCATGACCTCAATGATCTGTTCATTAATAACTTTCACTTATTTGATGGCCCTTCCCTCCCCGTGTGTCAGTTCCAGGAGGCTGTTTATGTCACAGTTTATGCCTGTCTTTCTCATCTCTATGTCCTGGGACCTAGAACAGTGCCAGGCACATAGCAGATGCTCAATAAATGTTGGTGAGGTTAGTGACAGAATGACTTGGACACGCTCTGGGAAGGGAAGGGCCACCAGATAGCTGGAACAGAGTGAGCAAAGGGAAGAGGTGGACAGGGGCCAACTGTGAAGGCAGGCCATTGAAATGTTTGTTTTTATCCATAGGGAGTTGTGGGGGGATTCTCGTAGGGGAGGGGTATCATCTGACCTGTTTTAACATATACCCTTGGGCTGGTGAGGCCATGGGGCAGTTAGCACAAATGGATGCTGCTTCACCTGGGCTTGGGAAGGAAAACTGGTCTAGGAGTCACTTTAGCTTCAAAAAGGAGGCCTGGCCCCAGGCTCCACCCCAGCCCTGTGCTCTCCCTCCTCCAGGCCCCTGAGTGCCAGTGGTGGTGTTGTCCCTTGTCACCTGGAACCTCATGCAGCCGGAACCCAGGCCTAGTGGGGCTGGGGCCCACACCCGATTCCTGCCCCTGATGTCACAACGCCCCGAGGGGGTAGGGGACACAGTGATGTACGCCTCTACTGAGTGCAAGGCTGAGGTGACGCCTTCCCAGCATGGCAACCGCACCTTCAGCTACACGCTGGAGGACCACACCAAGCAGGCCTTTGGCATCATGAATGAGCTGCGGCTCAGCCAGCAGCTATGTGATGTCACACTGCAGGTCAAATACAAGGACGCGCCGGCTGCGCAGTTCATGGCTCACAAGGTGGTGCTGGCTTCATCCAGTCCTGTCTTCAAAGCCATGTTCACCAATGGGCTGCGGGAGCAGGGCATGGAGGTGGTGTCAATCGAGGGCATCCACCCCAAGGTCATGGAGCGCCTCATCGAGTTCGCCTACACAGCCTCCATTTCCATGGGTGAGAAGTGTGTGCTCCACGTGATGAACGGCGCCATCATGTATCAGATTGACAGTGTCGTCCGTGCCTGCAGTGACTTCTTGGTGCAGCAACTGGACCCCAGCAATGCCATTGGCATCGCCAACTTCGCCGAGCAGATCGGCTGTGCTGAGCTGCACCAGCGTGCCCGCGAATACATCTACATGCACTTTGGGGAGGTAAGCAAGGGGAGGGGCTGTGGAGCCAGCACTTGAGGGTGGTATCAGAAGGACCAGGGACAGATGGGTGGTCATCATTGTCCCCCTTGAGATGTTACGGTCAGATCAGGGAACTGGAGAAAAATGTAGTCTGAGCTCCTAGTCTGCACATCGGGGGCAACTCCAGGAAATAGTTGAGGAAAGCGAGGCTTTCACGGGTCTCTGGGATCAAGAAAGGGGACAGGGTGCAGAAAACATGACAGCAGCTCAACCCTGGGTATGCTGACCTGGGCTCAGCATTTCAGGCAGTTCAGCAAATATTTATTGACTACCAATGACATGCTATGGACCTCAAATGTGACCCTTAGATGTATTTTTTTTGGTCCACACAGGGTTGTCCTCACAGTGTTCTCGGTT